GTGGCTCGATGAAGGCTGAGGCCAGTACCTGGGCAGGGCAGGCGTGGATCTTGGGGGGGGGGGTGAGCATATATATATATGCTCACCCCCCCCGTTGACAGACCATGCCCTTGTGATAGTGTACTCTCGTTCGGTGACTAGGCTGAGATATTGTATCTAAACACACCACACATGACGACAATCTGTAAAGCAAATCCTTTACAGTACATATACCAAGTATACTTTTAACATGCCATGTACTGAGGACGCATGGACCAGACGCGCGACACGTGAGTTATGAGTTTTGTGGTAGCATTGATATAGGATGAATATGAGTATTAATATTGGTATTAGTATTAGTATCAGCAATAGTATTAGTGTTTACTGTAAGTATATATATATATGTATATATCGACAGTAGTAAGTATACATTAATGTTAGTGCTCATCGTCGTTTTAGTCTTAGTGTGAGTGCCAGTGTCAATGCCAGTAATAGTACCACTGCTAGTATTAGTATCAGTCTTCATGTTGGGTTTAATATCAGTTAATAATGGCAGAGGTGCTAGTATTGGTATCAAGATTAGAGTTAATTTCGATATGTTACTATTCTGATAATTTCGTATATCAGCAGGTTAGTATATCAATACATTGATGTGTTCGAGAGGCAACATATTTGTATACTTGCATATTCGCAGATTTAATACTTTAGTTCAACTGATGCATGATTAAACTAGTGGATTGCTGTATTAATATATTAGTAGATTAACATACCAGTATATTCGTACATTAGTGTACTAGTATACTAGTATATGCAATATAAGTGTATTGTCTAATGGTTTATAATAAGTATATCACTATGTTGTCATATTAGTACACTAACCTGCCATGTCGGTATACTTGCATATAACAGTAGTCGTATACTAGTACAGTAGCATACTAGTATAATAGCATACTGGTATAGTATATTCACACATTAACAAGTAGTGTATTGTTACATTGGTATATGGGTATATGCATGTCCTAAAACATCAGTACATGAATGCATTGATACATATCGGCAAAAATGATAATGGTATGTGTTCTAGTGTGCATTAGCATATACACGTGTCTTTTGTAATGGTATTAGTCTTCACATCAATATGAATATGACTATTGGTATTCGTAGGAGTATTAATGTTAAAATTCGTATTAGGATTATCCGTAGTCGCATTAGCCTTAGTATAAGTGTTAATAATGGTATTAATACTGGCATTATCTTGAATATTCAACAAGTTATCAATGTCAGTATTAGTATTGGTGACAGCATTACTGTTAACAGCATAAGAGTATACGCAGTAGTATCCGTAGGCGTATCAATACTTATGTAAATCTTGGTGTTAGTATAAACAGTGTGATTGGTATTAGTAATAGTGCTAGTGCTAGTGCTAATATTAAAATGAGGTTATGTATTTGCATGAACGTTTGTTTTATATTAGTATTACTCCTGATTACATGAAAATACTAACAGATAAATACATGCATGAGCTAATGTATTTGTACTTTAATATAGTGGTATGTATATTTATGTACATTGGTATATGCAGGTGTGTATTAGTATTGGTATGAAAATACACTACTACCAATATGGGCAGAATTATTGATATGCGTAGGAGTATGAGCGTCAGTATTAATCATTATTAGTATTTGTATGGTGCCTATTCGTATTGGCTAAAAAAAGTGTAAATATTAGCGTTAACGCTGGTATTAGCTTGGGCAGTCAGCAAATGATCAATGTCAGTATTAGTATTGGTAATAGTATTCGTAGGAGTACCATTTTTTTAATATATATATATATATAAACACTGACAATCGTCTAAACAGACCTTGCCTTTGCAAGTGAGTCGTAGTGCACGGTGTGTCATCCGATGGGTCACAATCAGCCCATTGAAAATCAATTCCAAAATTTCCAAAATTTCCGAAGTTTCCGAAATTTCCGAAATTTCCGAAATTTCCAAAATTTCCAAAATTTCCAAAATTTCCAAAATTTCCAAAATTTCCAAAATTTCCAAAAATTTCCAAAATTTCCAAAAATTTCCAAGATTTCCAAAATTTCCAGAATTTCCAAAATTTCCAAAATTCGCTCCCCTAACTTTCCTGGTTTCCAAAATTTCCGAAATTTCCAAAATTTCCAAAATTTCCAAAACGGCCCGACCTATAGTCGACAGGATTTTTCCAAAACATAAGGGCGGACTTTTTGGAAATTTGGAAATTTCTGAATTTTTGAAATTTCGGAAATTTTGAAAATTTTGGAAATTTCGGAAATTTTGGAAATCCGTAAAGCTAGGGGAGAGAATTTTTGGAAATTTTGGAATTGAGTTTTTGAAATCTGAGTGCCCCCTCCCCCCGATCACAGACCATGCACTACGACTGAGTTGAAAGGGCATGGTCTGTCAACGGGGGGGGGGACCATATATATATATATATATATATACATAGTGTCTATATATATATATATATATATATGAGCCCGACACCTTTCGGGTCCATTTAACTACCCTTTTTTGTATTGTAATCATCAAGTCCTAGCTAAATGCTATTATCCAATATATGCACATATGCCTAGCTAAATAATCTCTAGCTATATCATATATTCTACAACCCCGAAACCTGTGCATCTGAGGAGCTCATGGATGTGGCACAATTGTTCCTAGCCATTCGAGTCCACACTTCTGAGAAACATGTCACATGTTTCATATCCGAAAAAACTGCGATGTTATCGGCGTCATGGAAAGCAGCCTAGCACACAGTGTCGCAAGTCATGCTTCGTCACGAGTGTGTTCAGAATTTAACTTCTCCCTCCACAGCAGGGCTTAATGATGTTGAGCTAGTGATTGTAGCTGAATGATCGTTATATCCACGCTCACGCAAACTTGTGACCCTTTGCTTCTGCAAGCATATTGCCGACTCTCTTCAGGTATCCAGTCCATGGCAATAGATAACGTCTAGCTTATCCTTGGAGGTCGACTAGAGCTTCGATCGAATGACATATAAGCAATTCTTCTAGAACTACGCAAGTATTCCACCTGTGTTGCAGACGTATTCATTCTATACATGGTCAGACATTTCAGTTGTAGCTCGCCAGCGACGCCCTTCGAAACTAGGCCAGGCATCGACGTCTGTGCAGCTGCACATCGTGACGCTGCCTCCCTAAGCAAACAGTATCGTTCTACCATGCTGAGATAGCATGTGTAGCCGAGCAGATGATCTCAAGGAAAGGCGCCAGCATTTTGATGTTAGTCAATCATGCAGAGATAGCCAACATTCATCATCAAAACCCCTGCGAGAACACAGTGATGTATCGGCGACATTAGTGCGCGCTGCATGCATCTGAGAGTCGCAGAGTCGCAGATATCTGTCAACATACTGCATCCGAGAGTCCAACATACTCTCGGTCGCCCCACATCATCACCTGACCAAAACAAGGAAAAAGTATTTCGTGCTTTTCGTGATCATTGCAGAACTGGTATGCAAGCACCTATAAGCTTCTCGCGTTTTATCGAGTCCAGCAGCCATCACACCTTTAGTGTAATTTCACGCCAGAACTACGCAGCGTGTGCATTCGCCGCACTGATAGCGGCGTGACATGCCGCTTCTTCATGGGACTAGTCCGCTTGGAAGCCGAGGGCTTCTTCATGACCCACTGCCGCACTCGTGCAGCTTCATGTTTTCTCGCATTCGCTAGAGGAAGAGAAGCCTTCGACTGAAAGCCATCTGTTTGCTGTTCAGCACACCAAGTCGCCCAGTCATGTGGTGTCCATAAGGATTCATGAAGAGATCTGCCCAACAACATGCTGGCACTGACTGTGTGGGTCATGGGATGCACCGTCGACAAGTGATGCTGCAGCATTTTTATGTAATGGTAGAAGTGCAATCGCAGGGCTAAAGTGGACCGATGCATTGTGTTGGTGCTGCGGGACCAGGAATTGAGCTCTGCGTGTAGAGCTTCATTGCTCGAAGTTCCGCTCGGCAGAAACTTCACGTAGGATCTCCTGATGCGTTGTCGAGCGCGGACATTATTCATCAACCACTCGAGCCTGTCCGGAGCGCAGGAGGACCATAGAATCTTGTAGATCTCCTTGTTTGGTCCCGCTGCTTTTCGTTCGACTTCAGTCCGATATCGTTGACATAAAGCAGCAATACACTTGATGAACTCCAATCGAGAGTAGAACGGCAGGTCCGTTCTGAGACTGTCCAAGACGTTGTTGGCAGTGCGGTGAGGCATCGAAAGATTCAGAATCATAGCTCGGTACTTCTCCTCTTCTCGGTTCAACGGTCTGGACATGGTGCCGTCATAGTACGAACTCCATTCGTAATCTTCCAGCTCCATGTCGACGTTGACACACTTGGTGAGGATGCGACGCAGCTGCTTCGAGCCTGCACTTCTTTTATTCCAGAAACCGTACTCGTACACGATCGCGAGATGGACTGGATCCAACATGAGACAGGCGAGCCTGGGACAAATAACTTTTAAGTGGGTGTACAGCTTTTCAGAAGGACTGTCGGTCGCGACATGGACGATCCGGCCAAGCTGGTCGACAGTAAAGTTGTCTTTCAGGACGTCAACCAGCTGCTCGGACGACTCATTCTGAAGAGGTTGTAGAAGTAGGACAGCACCAGTGCGACCTCTGACTGTCAGAATCCGCCGCCAGGCGGTGTCGTCTCCGAAGGGCGCAGCATCTCGTCTGGCTTTCGAGGCTCGATAGGACTCTTGTCCCAGGAGTTTCAAGCAGACCTTGATGGTTGCATCCATGCTCACGTAGTGCCACTCATCGTTGGCCTCCATTGATTTTGTCATGACCGCGATTTTGGAACAAAACGCAGTCGACGAGGAAATATCCTCTAGAATAGGAAGCCAATGTGAGCTGAATGTAGGCAACAGCGTGGAGAGCTTATTGCCACTCTCCAGAGCAGCCATATGACACCGGGTCGCGATGGCTCGCACCTGACCGTTCAAGTTACAGCTTCTACGACATGGCATACTTATTAGGATGCACGCTTGCTTACGTCGCCTAGGCTCACAAAACGGTCGAGACCGCCCGCCTGTGCATGATTCAGCACTGCTTCTCGAAGAAGCAAATCTGCATAGGAATGTGTATAGTAGATGTTCCTGACACGTCTTAGCTCCATATCGTTTCTCAAAGTCAACAGGTTGACATAACGATGGCCAGCTGCATCGAGAACCAATCGTATATGCTTGTCGACATGATTGATGCGGTGGTTCAGCGGTGGAGTTACAGTACTCCGCATCAGCGCAGCACTCCTCTGCAAAAGCTCACATGCTGCCAACTGTGACGAAGCCGCGTGGTCGTACAACGCCAAAATGACTTTGATCTGTTTAGTACCAGAGCAAACATACTGGTTGGATTCCACATGATGCTTCTCCAAGTGCGTGCGTAGTTGGCGTAGCTGTGCAAACGATCTGAAAGGACACAACGGACACAGTCGTCGACCATCAACTCTACTGGACATCTTGCGGGGATCCTCTAAAACTTCTTTGGTTTCCTGGCGGAGCATGGCCAGGATTCCATCGGATACAAAGGCATTATCGTCTTCGTCAAAGGAAAATTTGCTGGGCATTCCAGACGGGCCGTCGTCTTCAAGTGATTCCGACTCCTCAGATGCAGCACCGGCCACCATGTCCAGCAGTGCAGCAAACTTGCCATCTAACTTGTCCTGCGGGTCGCGCTTCCAATAGCAGACGACCGTAGATGTGTCCACTGCCGCTGCGCAGATTTCAGCCAGCAGACGAATAGACAGTTTGTAAACACTGCGACCGTCCAAGACAGTGGCTGTTTTGGTCGATGCATCGAGCCGAACGGCAACGCAATGCGGTGAACCGGTGCCTTCATAGTGCAGCATGTAGGATTTGACATGCGGCTGAGGCAATCCCACACAGGCGACGAGATCCACATCACACATCTGAGCCATGGAGCGATAGGACCTGTACTTTGTCGTGCCGACATTGGCGTTCTCCGGCAGGTCCTTGTTCCCGATAGCTGCCACAATCGATTGTCGAGATAGTGGAACGATGCGCCAGAGACCGCACGGCACGCAATTCCCCGGCTGGAGCAGCTCCGTCGGGACGTTGGACAAGTTGTTAGCTTTAGTTCCCCGCTTCTGTAACAACTGGCTGAAGCAGTGGTGTGTCTTGGCGACGATCGTCACATTGAATGATGTAGCTTTGGTGATCGCCTCCTGACATCCCTTGATGTAATCCTCCATGTCGGAGATGAAGTCCGACGACACGCGAATGCCATCGAAATGAAGAGATAAATGCCTTGGCTTCGTTGGCCCTGCCAGCACGTGTTCTGTCCACGCATGCAGTATTGCATCTTCTACCGAATGCCACATGAGAGACATGATTGTTGCAGAAGGAAATTCCTTCTGTTTGCTGTCCTGCAGGCTCATGTAATCACCGTACAGGATATTGCAAGCCACCCAGCGGACGTACAGAGACAGCTTCTGCAATTTCTTGATACGACTGTGACCCTTGAGTTCGTCTGGAGGACTGCCACCATTGAAAACAGTGTTGATGAGCTTCTTGCCCTCTACGAGGTGGAGATCTAGTTCAGACAAGAAGTCTGTTCTTCTCTGTACGATGTCGTCCAGGAGAGCCGCCAACTCTTCAGGCAGAGCCGGCTGCGGCTCCAGTTTCTGGAGTATCTGCTGCACGAGCGTAAGGCAGCAGTTGGAGATGTCGAGGTCCGTGGTGTGTCCGTCTACAACATGAACCTGCAGTCGTCTCGATATTGACTGCGCGCCACCCTTCTCAGCATAACGTCGAGCGGCGATGCTGTAGGACTGCTTGTCACTGTAGCGATACTGCACACTTTTGCTGGACTTGCTGGACTGCCACTCCGTCTGGTCGTCTTGATGTAGGAATCCCTGCTCTTCCTGTGATGTCTTTCCTGTCATGCGTCTCTTTTTGGGCAGAAGTACAGCCAGGATGCTGTCCTCATGATCCTCCAACTTTTGAATGATTTTTTGATATTTGGTCACGACCTCGTCCTGCTCCAAGGTTCTTCGTCCCTTGCGGGCTGCAGGCATCATGGACTGATAGTAGATCTTCAGGTTCTCCGCGTTCATCAGTCGTCCCTGGCTCTGAAATGCATATTTCTTGAGCAGTCCCAGATCATGCTCCTCCTCGAAGTTCATTCTAGTCTTGTGATCGTCTTGATGACATATGTCCGCAAATTGCTTCTTGAATTTGAACAGGGGAATAAAAGCACCAGGCTTTTCCTTGCTGGTCTTGCCTTTCATGATAGCTGGTCGGACGACATCGTGCTGCATCATCTGGTCCCACATATCAGCCTTCGACAAGTTGGGGTGCTTGTCTGGTTTGAAGGTAACCTTCTTGAACTCATAGAATGTCACGTGAGACAGGTCGCTGGCAAGCATGTGCTCCACCAAGAAGCTGCGAAGGTTTTCCCATTCCACATCGTTTTCTTCTCTTTCTTCCTCACTTTGAGCATCCGCTTCCAGAACATTGGCCAGGCCGTCTTCCTCCTGTATCTGCCGTTGTCGAACTGGTAGGCCACATGCATTCCTCATCGTGTCTTCTGTCAGAAAACCATCGCCGCCGTTACAATAGTCTTCTATCAGCTGACAACAGTCATCTTTCGTATGATCTCGTTCGAAAGCCCATTGTAGTCTGAGGCCTGCAATAGATGCTTGAGACGTACTCAGGAATTTGCTCAGGCTTGGATCTGCCTCGAAGATGCCGTCCTTTTTGTGGTCCGGGTATTTGGACAAGAACTTCTTCTGAACAAATCTGGCCTTAGACTTCCACACGAACGACCGCCTGAACATGGAGTGGAAGCTGCTGGCCCGAACTCCTATGAATTGCATAATTCGATTCATTTCCAGCCTTGTCCATCCGATCATCCGGAACATGCTGGTACTGTATCCGTACGGTTTGCGCCCCATGATGCCATCTCCCGAAATAGTTTTTTTGTAGAGATCTATATGCATCTTTTTGCTTGTTTCGGGGGCTTCTTGTCCTGTTAATATGAAACATCGCGCGAAAGACTCAACCTGCTTCCGCAGCTCCTCGTCCAGGTGCCATATGTTCGGATCAAAAAATGCATGGTTCTGTTTGTACATTTCGGATAGATGCAGCGAGTACAGGCTTTGTCCCACTCCTCCAGGCGATATGCCTATAAAGCATCTGTCGACATTGTACCCACGCTTGGCAATGGCTGCAGCTGCTTGGAAACACCTGAATACGTCCAAATTACACCAGAAGGTCTGCTCGTAGAAGAGTTGCAAACGCTCCTGGTTGGCTTCCATGACTGGGTCCAGTAAAGGATGAGGAACTCTCACATAACAGTTGTTGTGTGGACCTTTCTTCACTGCATCTATGGGATGTGGAGAACCGGGCCGATCGTACATGAAACAAACGTCATCATAACAGATGGCGGTGGATCTCTGATCTTCTGTTTCGCACCATTCAACCAGAAGAGAAATCATCCGAGTATGCATGAGTTCCTGTCTTATGTTGCAAGACAACTTCCACGCTTTTTCTGCCATCTCCATGGCCCAAAGCTCATCTGCTGAATCGTGCTGCGGTGCGGCCTTGTCGTCCTGGTGCTGCTCCAGAGTTTCGTCGGCGTCCAGCCTGGGAGGATAAGCCGCTGTTTTTTGTCGGAGGTTTGTAGCATCTCTGCATGCCTGTAGGAATTCATCTTCATTCTCGAAGGATTGTAGATCTGCTGTTATGGCCCTGGCCACTGAGTCACCTTTTCGAGAGATCTCTGGCCTCATGCGTCGGAACAGACCCTCCAAGCATGCGAAGAAACTGTAAACTCGCTGCAGCACTGACTCCGGTGGAATTCCGCTGAAGGGAAGAAAACATCCATCATCATCGTAGACGTAAAGAAAGCCTTTGTGAACCCTCAGGTGCCGATCTCCCTCCACCATCCATGTAAGAGCAGCTGAGTCTGGCAGCATTGGCTTGTCCGACACTTTGCCCTCGGCCAGATGTGCTGCTACGAGGATCAATCGACAGACTTGCGCGGATAAGTTCGGGAACTCGCGACGAAGCTCCGACAGCATGGCTCTGGTGTTTCCCAGGATCGTGTGTCGCCTGACACACACATCTGCTGAATACGAGTCCAGGGCGTCGGCTAAAATTTCATGGCACCTGGCGAACATTTTTTTGCAGTTCACCGAGTGCTCGGCGGCACCGGGCAAGAGTCGACGCTTCTTGGAGGCATGAGGCTCGTCGTCTGAGAGATTCTCCATCATAAGGTTCTCTAAGTCTTTCTCCAAATCGTCCTGAGTGTCCAAGCGTGCAGCCTGCGAGGCTCCAGGCAGTGACAAAGATGGCTGCTGCTCCATGTTCTGTCGAGCTTCTTGACTTGGCCGAACGGCTGGCGCAGAGTCTGTGGCATCTCCCGGTCCCACATCCACTGAATTCAGTTCCATGTCGTGCTGCATGTTATGAGCCAGCAAGGAGTCCCGGCGACTCTGCATGAGCTGGGACACCTCAGCTTGCATATCTAGCACATCGTCCACAAATCCATCTGGCAGATAGCGGGGGTGGATGCAGATGACCTTCATGTCGCGCACCTTGATTCCGTAATATTTTTCCAGAATCCATTTGTATATATTAAGCTGCAGTCGATAGTGATATCCTTGGCAGTCCGGAACCTCGTGGAGGGGTGGCTTCATAGCTCTGCCAAAGCTGTTGTAGTTGTCCCGAAGCTTTTCGCTTCGTTTCCAGTCCACGAGGTAATAGATGTCCTCATCCTTTTCGATTCTTTGAGAACGAGGTCGATAGAGCCCGCCACGTCCTCGTCCACTGCATAAATACACCACTCGGTGCGGTACACTTCTACGGACTCCATTTGAGACTCCCTGCATGCGGTTCGCTCGGATCATGTAACCATTCAACAAACGCTCCAGCATGGCGTGCATCCAGGTACCTGAATTGGCAGCTTCGTTCCTTCTCCTGTCCCACAAGTCCAGGATCTCGTTGTCGTGAAGCATCAATTGTGCAGTAAACTCTTCCCATTCCTCCATATCGCTCTTGGACTCGGCAACTAGTTCGCAGATCTTGCTGCGATCTGGGTTCACCTCCGTCAGCAAAGCAACGATGTCTGCTTGAAGCCGAAAGTCCAAACCAGCTAACATCTTGGATATGGCAACGAGATTGGCTTCAGGATCCATATATTCCGGACGAGGCCATCGTCTGCCATTCTTCATTTTCTGCAAGGCCACGGCCGGGTCGAACTCCTCAGCGTATTGATGTATCAGCGTCGTAACCTCAGCTTCACGTCTCAGGATGGTTTCATCAGCACATGAAACGGACGTGTGCTAGACTGCAAGCAAGCAACGCTGCAACTGACTGAAACATCTTTGTAGAAATAGCGATGACCTTCTGCTTCGAAACGAAGAAGAGCATCGCGGTCGCACTTGTTGATGTTGGCCAAGTCCAGACACGGACGCAGATGCTCGACACTCTCTGTCCCAGTATTTTCCGGCACATCGAAGACAGGATGCCGAGGTGCTTCCCGCAGCACACTCCCCGCCACGTTCTCCAATGCTGCAGGCCAGCCGCCTGCACCAGGCTTGAACGTCATGTGATCTACTGCTCCACACAGAAACCGAGCTCACGCGCCGAGCAACGTCGAGCCTTCTCCAGTCAAGTCAGCTACGTCCATGTCCTCATCGGCCTGAAGCTGCAACAGTCATGGAAAGACACTTTTCTGACATGATCCTGTACCTGTACATCCAGGTGATACTTCTTCGACAGGACGTGTCCATTCTAAGTCAAGGGACGGATCCTCCCAAATATTCGATACATCGAAGTTGTCCATCAGAACCATTGGAGGAAGATGACACATCTGGAGCCGCGTCATCAATCACATATCCGTCAGGACGATCATGATCGATTAACTCATCCTCACGGTCGACATAAGCATTTAGTTTTACAGTCTAGATAGATGGCTGTCGGCATGAGTAACATCATTATTTTCTACATGCCGAGAATCCGTCTCTTCCTCCACGAAGCACACATGAATGGGCCGGAGAGGTCGTGGATGCCAGATGATGCTATTCGAGGTAAAAGTGCAGCAGTTGTTCAAGGAGTGTGCTATGCTTTCGGCCCAAAAGATATCATCTGGAAGCTCAGTTGTGCAGAACGCTACGATGGTGCCCCGGATGCTCCGATGTCCCAGACAAGCTCGGGATGTGGGTTCAGAAACTGGAGGTCCCTGCAATGCACAGTTGTACATCTGCAGGATGTTGTTCAAGATATTGTCGGTCAACCTGCGGTACATTCCTACCAGAAGTGCATCGCAATTGTGTGTATGAAAACCATCACGTGGACCGGGCTCTGTTGGTACAGCAACTGCCAGTCTGATGTGTTCCTCATCGCATGGATGGGTGTAGTTCACAGATGCACCCAGGAAATCAGCCAGTGAAGAAGGACAGCCAGGACGTTGTGCTTGGGGCTCTAGTTCCACGTGATCTCTGCATACCCAGGCAGAACAAACCGGGCATACGGCGCAACTGTGATGTTCCAGCACATGTGATAGCTGGCATATGCGACAGCAACATTCTGCTGCAGGCATCACAGGGCTCAACAGAGGCGTTATGGTGACGTCTCTGTTACGTTGAGCTCGCCTCGCCCAGACAACGGGAACTGCTTGCGAAGGCGGACCATGCAGAGCATCCAATTCCAGTCGCACCGGTCCGAAGTTAAAACCGTTGAGGTTGACCGCAAAGTAGCGTCGGTCCCACATAAGCATCACGTCATTGGGTGCCCGACATCGAAGAACTTCTCTCGCCAGAGGCACGCGCCGAGAACCCCTGGCTCTCTGTAGAGGCACTAGGCCGAGACTAAAACACATTCGCTCTGTGAACAGCTCATGGATGCTCATGTACACCGCTTCTGGTCCACGCGGATTCTCAATGCCGAACCGAAGTGCACGGACGTTATCCGGAACACTGATGCGGAATCGTGCGCAGCCCAGTAGAGAATGAGTCGCCCTGTAGCCAGAAAAACATTCATCATGAACGGGCAGATCGAACACCTTCCACCGCAGCATACAGTTCTGTGGAATTTCATCCAGCCATGCGAGCTGATTTTGCGACAGGTTGACGGTTCGAGCATTTCTCCACCACTTGGACATGGCCATCAAGGTTTCCTGATCACGAAGAAATTCTGGTGTTTCCAAATCCAGATGACAGCCGATCCAATGGTTTCGATTCAGAACTTCTGTCTTTACATCTCTGGAACACGCTGCTAAGGTGGATAAATAATTTGGGCAGAAGTAGTAGGCTGGAAGGAGTCGAAGCAGTTCTGGGAAGAGCATAGGCACGCGATGATTGTCGGTGGTGCCTCCAGCGAAGTCAAATGCACCCGAGCAGGCGGCCGTGCCTGCTGAGAGATGTGGGCCGTCAGATTGATCGGTCTGGCGCTCATGCTTTGAAATCATGAAGATTGCTTCGAAAGGCATTCCACACAACTCTTGCGCCGACACTATGCAATTCTCAAAGGACCGATGGGATTGAGTGAGACATAGAGTGCCGTCCGAATACACCCGCAAGCCAATGCAGTGACGTTGTCTGGCGAGAATGTAGCGACCTTCGTCCCTTAGTGAGATAGTACTCCTGGCATGGATAGTGTACCTTGGTTGCAGATGGAGTGCTGCTAGATATACCTATCAACTCGCATGCCCGAGCTGTAGGTTGTCAAGTAAGCATCATGGTTTTGAGCAAAGCTACCCCAGAGGCTCCAACATCTTCGTGCCATCCTTGACAGCGTAAAAGGGGCCGTCACCGCTGTACGGCACCCTGAGGCCGAGTGCCCGGAAAGCATCGACCAAGCAGGTCTCCGTGAATCGCGTACCTGAGCAAGACTAATGTCAGCAAAGACACACAGTGTGTAATGCACAGGATCAGCAGCGGAAGTTCATCAAAAGTACACAACATAGAATAACCTGAAGGGAGTTATACTCGCAGCGGCCGAAGCACAGGCATCCTGGGCCACCATCATCTTCGAGCTACGCGTCTTCGCCGATGACAGCGCCGCATTGACCTTCGGCAACCTGTAGTACGAACCACATAATGTCTACGATACTTCTAGGTTTCAGCTCCAGGACAGAAAGTAAGCATTAGGACGAGCTTCGCATTGCTCTTCGGGATCTGTTTGATCTTCTTCGGACCGGCTTTCCTGACACACACGATCCCAAGACTGATAACGTTAACTTTTGCCTGCAGTAGTCACTGCAAGAGTCCTTCAACGTACTTGTACAGCTGAGGCACCTCTGCGACTTCGGCTTCCACTCAACGTCAATCTTGATGTCGGCCGTGCTGGCGGTCGCAGCCTTCTTGCGCATGTAGCGATCCCCTGAGCGAGGGATTGCTGAGTCAGAAGTGCTTATGCTGCCGTCCAGACAGCTTCGGCATGATCTGCTGCGATTTCGGCCAAAATACAAGGGAACGGATCGAAGTGCCACAGGTTCTTGGAGTCGGTCTCTACTCGGACGCCGGCGTGGATGTTGATGCCTGCAGCAACAAGCCATTGTAGCGCCTATGCACACGATGATGCAATGACTTCGAAAATCACCAAAAAAAGTTATACGTAGCACACAGCGAGTAGCGTCGCTGCGTCGTGGCTGGCATCTCCGCATTTCTGCGGCCAAGCATTGCCGCAATTAGGTCGTTGCCTTTGCTACAACCGCTCCCCACAGACATATTTTTGCTATCATACATCAACACCTTTAAATATAGCTACGCTACACCACGACGTCGCCACGTAGACCTCCACATCCGAGAAGAACACCGCGTTAGCGAACGTTGTCCGTCCTTCCGTGAGGCTTAGCAACGTATGGTTTGGATACAAGACGGCACGACAGCAGAGGTCCTGCGTTGAGGCCTTCTCTGGCAGCGGCCAAGCTGCATGTGTTCACAACAGTCGGCGTCAACCTAATCAGACATTTTGTTATTCTTATCCTATCAGCTGCAGGGAAAGTGTTTCTCTCAGTCCAAGGACTGCTGGTCTCCTGCCGACTGCATCGGTCTAAGCTCAAGGCTCATGCATCGGGAGCGATGTGACGGTCTCATCGACTTTCTCTGTCGATCCGGACCTAAGCAAAGTGTACTGCCGGCTAGTTCCTGAAATTGAACCTAACCGGACTGTCTTATCAGATCAATTGCACAGAAATCCTGTGTTTACGTCAAGCGAGTTGTTAGTCTCGCTTTGGTGGCTTTTGTTTGTTAATCTGTCGGCTGCGATCTGAGTTCAAGACTCCTCGATCGGCAAGGATGTGGTCGACTCCTCCAGCTGCATCGTGGAGCCGGACCTGACCGGGCTCCACTGTCAGTCAAGTCACTCACAGGACTTTCGCATTCGTCTCTCGAAGTCCTAGCATCTCTACAACTGCATTGATGCATCACCTTCAACAGTGTCTGCTGACTCTAAGTTCAGGGCAGATTGGTCGATACGATCGCGTGGCGCGGACCCCTGTATGATGATCTGTGCTTTCTGCAGAGGTGCTCCGGCCGCTGGTAAAAGCCCAAATATGACGGTCCTTGTCCGCTCGTCTTCACTTTGCAAGGGTTGGCGATTGAGTATGCCTCGCCGAGAATCTTCTCTTTGCGACATCTACCTCCAAAGTGCGGGTGCAACGCCAAAGTGCTTCTCTTTCCGCCAGGAGCGTGTCCTTTGGGAAGGCTGAGCGGTAGTGGCTTCAGAGCTACCCAGGCGTGCTGATTGTCGCTGGTGCGGAGAGGGTAGCCGGGCGTGTTGGAATCAACCTTCACGCCTCAGATTGGACATGTAGTTTATGTTTCACGATCAGCATCTGCCGATGCAAATGAAAGGGCAGAGCATGCATTCAAGCAAGTTCCCGATTAACCTCACATTGCAATAATGCCCAAACTAATCCAAATTATGCCATATGTCGATGCACTGAATTTCGCCAAGCAACTCTGGAGACGGTTGACAGCAGAGACAGCACATACCGGTGTGGCAGAAGACAAAGAACCTTCCAAGGCAAGGAAAGAGAAGACACAATCTCTGCGCTTAGCCCATGCAGGCATTTAGTCAAGCGGCACTTGATGCAGATTCTTGCATCTGGAGACTCTCCTACCACTTCGGCAAATGTACCTTATCGATTCCTGACTTATTGCTTGCACAACAGTTTCACTGCGGCGTCGCTGGGTCTGATGTGAGATATATAGATACAGACAATCATACTCAGCTTTGAAACATGCAGCATGAAACACGCCTGCCTTCTCCTCCTCTTTGCCGCGATGTGGAAGGTAGCCTGATCGTGGGCATAAGAGTGCCGCGACGTGGATGCGCAGCGGCTAGCGGTCCGAGTGTTGGCAAGGAGATCTACAAGAAGTCTTACACATCTTGGGTAAGTATACTACATACGACATCGTAAGCCGTTTCTGCAGATGCAGTATCGACAGACATGTAGTAGACACATAGCAGGATGTGCCAGAGCTCCAGAGTCTACAGCCACATTAGAGGAGAGAGTAACAGCTTCGAGCCGTAAGAGCCGGTTGCTCCGCTACCAATGTTGATCGTGTCATAAACACGATTAGCTACCAATGTTGATCGTGTCAGAGAAACGATGATGACGCAGTATACTGAAACGTCGCTACTTGCAGTGTGAAGGGGCGTCGAACGCTTGTCAAGACACATATCAGGATGTGCCAGAGCTCCAGAGTCTACAGCCACATTAGAGGAGAGAGTAACAGCTTCGAGCCGTAAGAGCCGGTTGCTCCGCTACCAATGTTGATCGTGTCATAAACACGATTAGCTACCAATGTTGATCGCGTCAGAGAAACGATTATGACGCAGTATACTGAAACGTCGCTACTTGCAGTGTGAAGGGGCGTCGAACGCTTGTCAAGACCCATATCAGGATGTGCCAGAGCTCCAGAGTCTACAGCCACATTAGAGGAGAGAGTAACAGCTTCGAGCCGTAAGAGCCGGTTGCTCCGCTACCAATGTTGATCGTGTCATAAACACGATTAGCTACCAATGTTGATCGCGTCAGAGACACGATTATGACGCAGTATACTGAAACGTCGCTACTTGCAGTGTGAAGGGGCGTCGAACGCTTGTCAAGACCCATATCAGTATGTGCCAGAGCTCCAGAGTCTACAGCCACATTAGAGGAGAGAGTAACAGCTTCGAGCCGTAAGAGCCGGTTGCTCCGCTACCAATGTTGATCGTGTCATAAACACGATTAGCTACCAATGTTGATCGCGTCAGAGACACGATTATGACGCAGTATACTGAAACGTCGCTACTTGCAGTGTGAAGGGGCGTCGAACGCTTGTCAAGACCCATATCAGGATGTGCCAGAGCTCCAGAGTCTACAGCCACATGAGAGGAGAGAGTAACAGCTTCGAGCCGTAAGAGCCGGTTGCTCCGCTACCAATGTTGATGGCGTCATAAACACGATTAGCTACCAGGCTACCATTGTTGATCGCGTCAGAGACACGATTATGACGCAGTATACTGAAACGTCGCTACTTGCAATGCGACGGTGTGTCGAACGCTTGCCAAGACCCATAGCGGGATGTGCCAGACACTACGAGAACCGTATAGCATCAGCTATAACAATCGTTCTCTGCAAAAACACCTGCGATTTTCTAGCGAAACACATTCGATGTTTTCCGGACTATTCGGTTGCTGTCGCTGGCACACACTGTCGTACCAGAGGCACTAGTGTGTCTACTTTGCTTAAAACCTTTGAAAAACATGTTTCAGTTGGCCTTCAGCTAGCTCCGAGTGCACACGTCCTTAGTCCTGTCCGACCCGCCTCCGTCGCCGGATGATCTCCATGGTCACATTCACCTGTCGTGTTTGCTTGCTTCTGTGCGTTGGCACACGCGAGATCACCAGCACCCTTCTTTTCTTCGGGCATGCGACTTTGCCGTCATGCGCTTCGGGGCCCGAACGGCCCACGGACACGGGCCTGCCTTCGGCTTGTGTGCCTTGGTTTGGCTTTGCCAACCCCGGCGTAGTTGCTCGCACGCCGGACAGTGCCGCGGGTCCGTCTTTTCAAAGCCAGGGTAGAGGATGCCTTCGGCATTTGGTTTACCCTCGTGGTTTGGCGCCGCTCACCCGGCAGGAGCTTGGGACGACGAACCCGTTTGGGTTTGTCCTTCGCTCCTGCCGCCGACTCCTCCTTGTCACTGGGCTCCGCCACCTCCTGCGCCTCGCGCTTCTTCTTCCTCTCCGCTGGACATGCCTTAGGCAGCGCCGGCGGTGGTGAAGGTGCGGGTGTCTCCTTCCGAGACCCCGGCACGGCCTCGTCGGACAAGCTGTCCGCACAGTCTGACCCACTGGAGGACCCCGACGGCGCCACCAGTGGTGAGTCACAGAACTCAACGGACAGCTCCTCCCCGTCCTCCTTCCGTGCACTCTGGCTCTTCTTGATCTTTGCCGCCAAGCTTTTCAGCTTGCACACGCAGCGGGGTCGAAGAGTGAGGGTGCAGGGGTGGGGTGAGGTGCTGTTGGGATGAGGGGGGCTGGGGGCTGGGGTGGGGGCTGGGGCGGTTCGATAGCACCAAATTTTCGGAAGCGGCGCCTTTCAGAATATTTGGTGCTATCGAACCGCGCCTTGGAAAACACAGCGGTTCGATAGCACCAAATTTTCGGAAGCGGTTTCTTTCAGAAAATTTGGTGCTATCGAACCGCGCCTTGGAAAACAAAGCGGCTCGATAGCACCAAATTTTCGGAAGCGGCGCCTTTCAGAAAAGTTGGTGCTATCGAACCGCGCCTTGGAAAACACAGCGGTTCGATAGCGCCAAATTTTTGAAGGGTTGGGTGGGAGGGGAGAGGTGGGGTGGAGGGGTGGAGGGGTTAAGGAGGTTGAGGTTGAAGGGTTGGAGTGGTGGAGGGAGGGGGGGTGAGGGCGGAGGGTGGAGGAGCGGGGTGGGGGGTGGAGTGGGTGGCAGGATAGGGGAGAGGGGGATGCGTGGGGGGGGTGGGGGTGAGGGGGTAGCGGCTGTGGGATGGAGTAGGGGGGGGGCAAAAAGGGGAGGGGTGGGGTGGGCAAGGAGTCGGGGGGTCGAAGGGCGGGGGCTCGGCTTGGGGGGAGTCGTGAGGGGTTCCGCTGGGGCACTAAAAAAAAGGGGAAAGGGGAGGTGGTCGGTGTTGGGTGGGGGGAGAGAAGGCGGAGGGTGGGGCGGGGGGGGCAGGGGTGGGGAGGTGTGGGGGCGCTGGGACGGAGGATGGCCGGGGGAGGGTGGGGGCCAGTCGGAGTTCAGGGGGTGGCTGGTTTAGAGATTTTCGATTATTTTAATAATTAAAATAATTAAAGTAAGTAAAATCGGGTCTATTTTAATTATTTAATTATTTCAATTATTTCAATTATTTTAATTATTAAAATAATGGGGTTTGCTCTCTTTCGAAGACATAATAGATTGATTTTAATTGTTTGAATTATTTTAATTCTTTCTGCTATCAAATAATTAAAATAATGAAAATAATTAAAATAAGCCTGTGTAGTATTAGTTCGGGAAGATTTGCCATTATTTTAATAATAAAAAAATTAGAATAATTAAAATAATTAAAATAATCGGGTCTATTTTAATTATTTTAATTATTTTAATTATTTCTGCTATCAAATAATTAAAATAATTAAAATAATTAAAATAGGGGTCTATTTTAATTATTTTAATTATTTTAATTATTTTAATTATTTCAATTATTTTAATTATTAAAATAATGGGGTTTGCTCTCTTTCCAAGACTAATAGAATGATTTTAATTATTTTAATTATTTCAATTTCTTTCTGCTATCAAATAATTAAATAATTAAAATAATTAAATAATTAAATAAGCCTGTGTGTATTAGTTAAGGACGATTTACCATTATTTTAATAATTAAAATAAATAAAATAATTAAAATAATTAAAATCGGGTCTATTTTAATTATTTTAATTATTTTAATTATTTCTGCTATCAAATAATTAAAATAATTAAAATAATTAAAATAGGGTCTATTTTAATTATTTTATTTATTTTAAGTATTTCAATTATTTTAATTATTAAAATAATGGGGTTTGCTCTCTTTCCAAGACATAATAGAATGATTTTAATTATTTTAATTATTTCAATTCTTTCTGCTATCAAATAATTAAAATAATTAAAATAATTAAAATAAGCCTGTGTAGTATTAGTTAAGGACGATTTACCATTATTTTAATAAGTAAAATAATTAAAATAATTAAAATAATTAAAATCGGGTCTATTTTAATTATTTTAATTATTTGAAATATTATTTGAAATATTTAAAATACATACCTGTACTATAATAAAATGGAGGCGCTAAATAGACCCTAAAGGCTCCTCTCTCATATATATATATATATATATGTGCGTAGAAGATATATGGTGTATGTACAGTGTGTATTGATGCACATATACATGTAAGACGTGAGGCTTTGTGTGTTCTTTCAATCTACAAGAGGGTACCGGGCCTCGCGAGCCTTAGGCTCGGCCTCAACAGCCCTCGCCGGGTTCGGCGGCGGCGACTGCGCCGGGACGTCCTTGTCCAGGGTTTCGGTGTCCAAAATTTAGGGTCCAGGGTTCAGGGCAAAAGGGCTTGTGGTAAACCAAGCAGGGCCAAGCCTCAGTGCCAAGCTCAAAACTCTCCAATTACACGAAACCTCCCAAAGCCCTACTTTAATTAGGGAGTCCCCAAAACTAGACCCCCATAAACTGCTAGAAAACCCTGGCCAACTCTGCAAAAGCCGAGAAAACTCCCTGGCCCTTCCCCCCTTGCCTGGGGATCCACTGGGTGGAGCACCTGGATACCGCCCACCTCGCGGGGCTTGGCGTGGGTTCGGCTTCACAGCTTTAGGGTTTTGGGGGTTTTGGGGTTTTTAAAAATAAGATGCCTAAAAATAATATCAATCATAATAATATTATTCATGTTATTACAATTGGTATTATTATATTTTGCTGTGTTTAGGGTCGGCTTGAAGACCTCTACAGTAGAAGCCAGAAAGTTGGAATATCCTTATCGTAACCCCTTTAAAGTAAATTATAGGGGATCCTACCATTAATCCATATTCCAACTTTCTGGAGTTCCCTTTAAGGCATTACATATGCCCGCAACCGCAAAACTTCAAACGTCTGCACTCGCGCCCCTGGGAGCATGTTTGGATGGGTTGATTCATCCCCAGGCTGATACTATGCACTATAGAATATCATGACGTCATGAAAATAAACTACACGATACGATAACGCTGTAATATGCTGTAGTAGGCGACGTGTAAGGATGAGGCCTGGCTGGGCTCAGGCGTAGTCTCCCATGAAGTATGGGTGGAGAAGAGAATCGAGAATCTGCACCAACACTACGCCCTTAACCACATGAACACTTCGACATGATCTGTACGCGGAGGATGCATGCAGGTGGCTCGGTTGTCGTGCTGATAGGCAGCTCGGTTGTCAGACCGATGCTTGGCTGCCATCAGCGGTGTCATCTGGTGTGGCAGTAGGGAACTGTCAGCGGTCGTCGTCGTCGTCGTCGTCGTCGTCGTGTTCGTCCTCGTAGTGGTCGTCGTCGTTGTTGTCGTCTTCTTTGTTGTTGTCGTCGTCTTCACTTGTCACGTTGCTGTTGACTTCAATCAGCGAGCAGCTACATTGCTACAAATCGTTTGCTAACTGCGTCTGAAGTGTGCGACTTGCCCTTCAGCGCTCGTCGAGCCATGCGTCCGATTTCTTTGCTGAACAAGTCCTGCATGACCTCAAAGCAAATTACAGATCGAAAAGAGCCAAGACAACCACTTAAGCAAAACCCTTTAGGACTCTTAGAAAGCCCGATGAATCACGCACCTGGGACCACAGCAAACAAGACGGTGCCTTCACAGGCAAGTAGTGCTTGCCACTGAGCTTGACCCACTGTCCGTCCTTGTCGACCTCCCGTCGTCGGAGGCTTCTTCTACGCACAAATCCTTCACCCCCAGCTCTGCGGGTACTACAAGGGTCTGTGGAGATCTCACAAGACTATAAGATGGTTTAGGGGGCTCATATAGATATACATATATATATATATACGTATGTGTAGGTATATACACAAACACACACACACACACACATATATATATATATATACATATACATATACATATACATATACATATACATATATATGTATATATATATATATATATGTATATGTTTACATATACAAAAAAACTCAGTTTCAGTGGTCTTCTAAGGGGCCTCCATTTTCCATCCGCACATGCTCTGCGACAAATCTGACACGCCAGAACCCACGTGTGCGACACTCCTGTGCTCGGCCTGAACCCTGTTTGTCCTCAATTGAAGGCAAGTACAGCATGTACTAAGTTGCTAAGTCCTTGGGTTCTTAGCCATAGTCCAACGAACAGTATGCGAAACAGTTTACATCGTGCTTCAAGCGTCCATGCCACGGGATGTTCTTGAGGGCTTAGGTCTGAAGGGACCAGGTCCAGGATTCAAAGTTTATGTTAGCGGCCTTAGGGTTGTAGGATGTTGAAGGATTGCTCCGTGTCGGGATGCAGGCATAGGGTGGTGGGCCTCCACGGCTTTTCACACTGGCGACCGTGGAAAAGAGTTGGTACAAGACTGAAACTTCTATCGACTTCAAGCCGTAAGCCCCGAACCCGTTAAACCCCAAACCCCCAGCCAAACCGCACTTAAACGTCTGGGGCGGTGGCCGTGCCGGTGATGTACTTCCCATCCTGCTAAAAAACTGAGATTCGAATCTTCGAGAGTGAGCCTATGTGCGGCTACTTAAGCCTTAAGGAGGTTGGGTCTTCGGGCTCAGCGAATCCGTGGCATAGACCCAACTTGGGGCTTCAGACTTCCCGTTCATTGGAAGGCTGCTCCAGAATGCCTTGTGGAGCATTGAGTTCAGGGGCTTGCAGCCATGTGTGTTCTTTGCCGCTCTCACTGAATCAAAAACAAGTCATGACTTGGGATGACTGCCAACCCGAAACCCACACCCTACACACGCACGCCCCGAATCCCGTCTGCCCTTAAAACTTGGACCTGGAGCCTCTCCGCACAGACCTGAGGCCCTGGGCTTCAAGGGTTTGTGGGTTCGGATTTGAGGGCTTAGGGCTTTAGTTCAGGGGCCCTTGCTCTTCAACCCCAAAGCCTAAACACGCCCCGCCCACTTTCGGTGAAGTCCTGGAGGAAGCGGTTGTGCTTGTCTTTGAGGTTCGGCGACTTGCGGATCCTTGGAAGCCATGCGAAGTCATCCCCAAAAAGATGTAGGGCCCGGGCTTTGGGTTAAAGTCGTTTGGGGTTGGGGTTAAGAGCCTCCGGTTTAGGCTTTAAGGTTTTAGGATTTAGGGCCTGGGGTTTGAGGTTGAGACGGAATTTAAGTTTCAGAGCTTGTGGTGTCCGCCGACCTTGGCGGCGTGTTGGATGGGTTTCGATGGGCTTGGAGTTGTTAACCTCCCTTTTTCCCTCCTCCCACACAGGGGGGCGGTCGCCTCCCCCCCCTCGCCCCCCCTCCCCTCCCCCTCACCCCCTTGTGCCGATACACCCCCAAGGGATACTCCTTGTGAGGAGGTGTATGACCAGTTTATTCCCTAAGGATCAAAGGGCAGCGCCCTGCACACGGACAGTAGTTGTTTTGTCTTGCTACGCAAGGAGAGCTTGTCTTGTCTCAATATGGTAAAACCACTGTGAGCCAATGGGCAGCGGAATGTATATGTATGAGCATGCAGCCATTGCTGTAGGTACCTGTTAGAGCTACCCCTTTAGAGGTTTATGGTTTCAAACAGACACTAATTTTCTTTTACCGAAAGCATGGCCGCACATTCACACATATACTGTTATGCCCACTGTCACAGTTGCGGAGTTTTGGACTCATTATAAAAACAGCATATTATGTATGCTAGGTATAGCACTGAAGTACACTGCTGAGGACACTCCACTCTTTTGCACACACACTCATGCATATTTGTCAGAGAGATCATCTGTACAAGATCAGGTCTGGTGATGTTCTACTACCGAATTATGCAGCCATTCATTGTGCTCTTGTTAGAGCCTTGTGATTCACTATTGTGAAACTCTGAGAATTTTCTTATCTCAGATTCGGATCCAGGTTTGGATCATAGGCTCGAGCGTAGACATTCGGATGTGGCTCATCCGGGTCTGAGTGGTCTTCTTCGGAACTTGAAAAGATTCCGAGTAATCTATTCTCAGCCCTGGTGAAGGCGGCGTCTGCAGTATCATATCCATGGTTGGATGTTGTCGCCTTTGGCTCGGCCTTTGGAGCAGCTTGTGAGCTGACTGGAGTTGCCTTGGCTTTTGCCGGTTGCGGCTGCTTAGCCTTTGCCCGTTCAGCCCTTCTTCTTTCAAGCTGTCCGTCTGAGGACGCCCATGATCTTTCGCTTTCATCTCCTGAAGGAGATAAGGCGTGGGCATAAAGGCTATTCCAGTACTGTGGTGCAGAAGGAGTTAGGACTTCTTCATTGTCAGATTCTGATTGGTCTTCCTCAGAGCTTTGGTCGTCAAAGAGTGTCTCGAGGACATTTTTGAGATTGTTATTTCTTCGCTCTATCTCTAGTGAGGAATGGACCAATTGGTTAAAGACTGTCCTTGAGTCCTTCAGTGCTGTGAGAAGGATTTCCACTCTGGATAGAGTATCTTGGATGGTGTCAAGATGTTCCTTTCTTTCCTCCTTGTCTCTCTGGATAGAGCCTCGCAATGCTTGTGCGATTCTGAGGAGGTCTGTGTATTTCGCAAGAGGCATAGTTACCGTTTGATTGTCATGTATGACAGTTGTTTCGTCGCCGCTTAAGTTCCTGAATAGGACTTCCACGATTGGTAGGAACTCCGTGCTCCACGGTTCCTCTTCATCATAAGTTTCTACGTGCTGTAGCACGCGTTGTGTAAACTGGCCGGCTGCTTCTACCGTTGCATCGATAGAGCTGACGTGTCTTGATACTATGTTTCGGCACGTAACGTTAATTGCCTGGCCTTGATTGGCTTCGTCAAGTGCAGCGTCTGCATAGGTGCAGAGTCCACTGTTGTGGGCTTCTCTAGCTGCCTTTCGTTGAATACGACGATTTTGACCTCCTCTTCTGGTAGGACTCTCGGAGGAGCAGAAGGTACTGTTCCCTTCGCCTTTGGCGGAGGACTCTCAGGTGGAGGTGATATGTTTGCCTTGTTAGGCCCTGGTGGCATTGCCTTGGGCGCTGATGACGATGCGGCACTTGGGAGTGCAGATGTACCTCTGGCCTTTGCCGAGGATCCCTTAGGGATCGATGTATAGGTAATCTGCATGGCTTCCTCGGCCATTTGTGCATGCAAGGCATCCTGGAATAATTGTGTCATGTGAGGAGTGTTACTTGCATCATCGTAGGTCTGGAAGCGCTCAATATCTCTTTCGGTGCCACGTGGTCGTGTATCACCTCTTTGGAAAGGATCATTCCTGCGAATCTCCGCAACTTGTACTGCATGGAGGCAGTTTTTGCACAGCACCTTCCTGCAAACATCTCTTGCTTGCTTAAGCTGGTAACAGCTGTCTGAGAGATGGTAGACTTCGCTTCGGGAAGTATGCCAGATAGGTCGCAGATCAGTTGTTTCTCCGGAATTGACCCTGTTGGGTCCTAAAGGTTCACGCGTCTGCGGTTCATCCTCGGGTTCGAGGAATGGAACTCTTTGGTTCGCTGCTGCTTTTGATTTTGGTTGTTGGCGCTCCATACATCTGATAGGAGGCCTGGTAATCTGCTTCCACATCCAGTGTAAGCCCATTAGCAGCAGGAACACATTCCACGTGATGCTGAAGACGGAGAAGTCTTGCTCACTGGTTAGTGAGTCTGGAAGTGAAGTTTCATCAGTCTTGGTAGACTCTGCGTTTGCTCCACCTCGGTTGCGGTGTCCGAACCAGCCCGACAACCCCGCTGCTGTAGCAGCTGTTCTGAGTGCCTTGCCGCTCGGAGCAGACGGTGGACGCGATGCCTTCCTTCTTCTTCTCCGACTGGAGGATTCGTCCTCTTGTTCCTCTTCATCTCTCTGAGCAGACATCAAGTTTGATGTTTCTCTTTCGTGTTCTTCGATGTCACTTTTTGTTGGTGACGGTTCTTCTTCTAGTCCATCCAGCTCTTCCAAAGACATGTTGAGCTTGTCAACAATATTGGTTCTTTGAGGCCTGGACCTTGATCTTGGTAGATCTTGTTGTGAAGAGGACGATGATTCCTGGTTCCTTCTTGGAGGAGGACCTTCAGGCTCGCTGGGACGTTCAGGCTGTGGCCACTCCCAGAATCTTCCGTATCTGTGATGGCTACCTGATGGTTGCGATTTGTCGTACCAGCTGTTGCCGGATGAGTAAACGAATGAATCGTTGTAACCCCAGTATTCAGCATTACGCTGCTTGTAAGCCTTTCGCTTGTCAGCGATCTTCTGGACCTGGGCATCTGACCGGTTGTGTTTCCCTTTTGTAAGGATTGGTTGTATCGTGAAGCCCAAGGGCTGTGCCAATCTTTGTCAGTGGGACCCAACCATAGGTCAAGGTTAGAAAAAGTTGAATAGTACTGCTTGACTGAAACAAACAGACGGATATCAATATCCCTGTTGTTGTTCGTGTCCTGCCACATATCTGAGATTCGTTCCCAGTATGTTCTTTCAGCGGCAGGTGTGACCTCTCTTGGACTAGGTGACGCCGTGTGCGGCGTTTTACTCCAGTCAAGGATATAACTGTTGATACAGTCAAGGTCAGCAACTTTCTTCGCCGGGTCCGCCGGTAGACGATCTGCACGTGCCAGTCTGTGCTGGTCGGAGTTGTTCAAGCAAAGATGTCGCACTTGTGAGTGCCTTCCTGCTATTCTGTTGAATGCTGCAAGTTTCTTCTCCAGGTATAGAGAAAACAAACTGTTTCGCGGGTGAACGTCTCCACCTTTTAAGGTGAGCCTCGACGCAATATTATTGAGATCTCCCGCTATTACATCCGGTTTAAAAGGGAGAACCTCGTTGAGGAACGCGTTCACCAGTTCGCGTCTCTGTTCTTCCTTATGAGTCATGAACGAGTTGAAATGGACGATCGCGATGGTGATGACCTTGTAAGGCCCTTTTGTACACCACATCTCGTCAAGATCATTAGATGCTTCTTGTGAGAAGATCTCTGCGTATGTCTCAAAGTCTTCCTCTGGTGGCTCATCACCCTCGACATGGCCGTTCCATTCACAGAGAATCGGCGAGGGGTCGAGGGTCGACAATGTCAGGCAAGCCTCTGGTGAGAGGTAAGAGCCATCAGTGGGTCCATCCTTGTCAGGATTTTTGCCCTTGAGCGGGTCATATCCGATAATCTGCATGAACTCGTCTCTCGTCATCCTTTGGCCAGAATTTGGGTGGACCCATTCTTTTGCCTCTGGTATGGTACTGTGGTACCCGAATGTGAGGCGGCACACCGCACCGTGGCATGCCCACAGTCGCTTCTTGGTACCACCATTCTTAGGCTTCATTGTTCGATGACGGTAAAAGTGGTGGACGAGAGCGATGTCTGTCGTTGGGTCACCCTTGACTCCGATGTACATTGAGGGTGCCTCAGGCTCCTTGGGAGGAGAGTGGATTAGCATCCCTCTGTATTCGTGTTTTCGCATGGTTGCGATTGAGTACTCTGACGCAAGTGCTCCTGCCTCGAGTACGAGGGTAATATGAGCTGAATTGTTGAAGCACATGTCAATAAGAGGGTGATAATCGAATCCCTTCTCAGGTTTGAGCTTCT